CAATGACATCTAAAAACAGCGTAACATACTAGGCAGAGATCTGGAGTAGGAGTTAGAAAATTGAGGCCCAAGCTTGGCCCCATCATTTGTCAGCAGAGCCAGTGGGCTGAGCAGTAATCACAGAACTGAGGCATAATTTCCTCAGCTATAAACAAGCGTACTTAAAAGCCCTCCGAAAACCATGCTTTATAAACCTCAAAGCGCTATTGAATGTAAGCAATACAAGAATTTGTTTTGCTTGATTATTCAAATTTGTTACAAGGGCTTTGTTTTTCTTTTTTCTTCTCTAAAGGAGGTGGGAGGAGGGTGAGGGTGGTGTAGTGGTGGGAAGGAAAGAAAATAAACCCTTGTTAATTGAAAAAAATTTAAGAAAAGTAGGAATGATGAAAGTTATTATTGTAGTCTCAAAGCCATTTCATATCCATGATCTCACTTGATTCCCCCTAAAGCTTGGGAACGGGGTAGGGAGGCATTTTTGTCTTTAAACTGAACCTGTCATTTCATTGGTAAAGGGAGCTCCCAGGGAAAAATTGCCTCGACCAACAGGAAAGAGCCCCTTCTTCTAGCTCATTACCTGGAGAATTGAGAAGTAGCTTCCCAGAGTCATAAAGCCAGAATGTGCTTGAATTCGGGTATCCCTGACTCCAAGGCCAAGACTCTAGCCACTATACCACACTGACTCACAAAGTTCTGGGTTCAAATCCTGCCTCAAACACATAGCAGTTGTACAAGCATAAGTGAGCCACTGAATTTCTCTGGGCCTCTGTAAAATGAGGAGGGGGGACTAGAGAGCCTCCATTTCCAATTCTAGCTCTATGAAATTAGTTCAATCAAATTACATACAATGGGTGCTTAATAAATGCTTACTGTAAAAATTTAGAAAGGTTTTCCTAACTCAGCCAGGAGAGAAAGTAGATCAGGTGGCTTTGCAAGTTTCTTATTATTAGAAGTGTGAAGGCAGAAGCTCGATAGTGCTGGTAAAAAGAGATTCTTGCCCTGACTGAAAGGCATTTATATAGCACTTTAAGGTTTGAAAAATGCTTTGCAAATATTATTGTATTTAATCTTCACAACAACCCTTGAAGGCAAGAGATATTATTATATTCATTTTACAGATGAGGCTGAGTGGATAAGTAACTTGCCCAGGGTCACAGCTAGTAAGTGTTTGAGGTTGAATTGGAACTCAGGTCCTCTTGAATCCAGTTCTAGCGTTCTATCCATTTTGCCAACTAACTGTGTCTCTGCTGTTAGCAACCCTACTGATATCCTTCACATATATGCTTAACTGTTTACATGTTGTATCTCTTTGTCCCTTCCCAGAAGAATATAAACTCCTTGAGGACAGGAATAGTTTTTCATTTTGACTTCATATCCCCAGAACCTGAAAGAACATTTTGCTATATAGTAAATGTTTAATACATGTTTGTTGAATTACCTTTGGTTAGATCTGAAGACATCATGGAAACTAAGAGAATCTCACCTACCCCAACCCTAAAAAATAGTAGGAACCTCTGACATACGAGATAAACCAAAGAAAGAAGCTCCAACACCATTATTCAAATAGGGTGATTTTATTAATAATACACATGGGTGTGTCACGCCATGGGGCGCCAGTCGGCATCTACACCACGTAAGACATTAGGAGAATTAAATAGAAAGGCAGAAAGTTCAAATGAAGCAACTAGGAAATTATATCAATGGGGCTTCCATTTCAAATTTTAAAAAACAAAGCTTTTTTTTTTTACATGTTTTCCATGAATTAAATACACTGAGAAATAGTTAAAAGAATATATTTACAGTCAATTATCATGGGCACTGCCAACATAGTCAATAAAAAAAAAATAAACCAAAAAATTCTTTTCATGTTCCTTGCTTGTTCTTTTACAGAGAATTTTAAATACGATCTTGTTTTTTAGAAAATACAATAAGGAAATAATTACATTCTTAATATGAGAACATTATTTTACAACATATAACCATGGTCAATTAATTTTGAAAGTGTCTAGAAACGAAAAAAATGGTGCTAAATGAAACGTGAATAATCTCTTTCTCGGTTAGAAAAATTGACACACAATTATCCTATTAAAAAAAAACAAACTACCCACCAGCTTTGGTCCCTCAAAATTATGATCTAATGATCCCTGTTTAAAAAATACTTTCCATGACCAAAACATACCTGATAGCATCATAGTATCTGTGTAGAGAAATGTGAATAGTTTTGAAGTGAAGATCTGTAACTATTTCAGGCAAAGGTGTGCAAACTGATACACTCAAAGACAATTTCCTTTTAAAAAGATAGCTTTCCTGGCCAAAAAAAGGATTTCCTCTTTATGACATGGATTCTCCTATTACATACAGTCAGGTTGTATTGCTGGGAGATAAGAATTCTGTCCAGCATCGATCAACAAGTTTATTTCACAGTCTGGATGGACACAGTCTTTCAAGAGGCTCTGAAACAAAACTCACATTGCTCCTTCCAAACTGCGCCATGAATTGGAAATACCTAATGCTTTCATCAAAAATTTGACATTAACAAATAGTCTATGTGATGACAGACCCATGTTAAAATATGTCTGGAAATGTAGGAAAATGCCATTTAAAAGCCACCACGATTTTTGTCTGTTAGTGGTGAGGTACCATGTCTGATGGTGAATGATAGAAGTTCAATGGAAATATTCCTCCTAGATGTGTCTTATTTCAATGAATGGCTTGTTATTGTTACATCTATCCTGTGCTCCCAAATGGACCTAAACTAAATATGGAACCGAGTGATCAATTTTCTGGGATCATGACCTCATTTTTCTTGAGTTGCTAACAGACAACCTGTGCTCTGATGATGTCAATACCTTAATTTAGAGTTTCCCATCATGACCACGTATTGATGGGTTGGCCTAAAATACTGCCAGGTAATCAACGTCCAGCAGGTCCCATTTACAACTTTTACCACAAAGTATAAGGTAGGAGACTGTTTTCTGCTAATCTGTGATGGACTGAAAAAAAATGAGTGCTACCCCTCTCCAACACCCTCCCTCCCAGGGGCCCCCTGGGAAGTGCCTTACACTAATTTCAACCATTTGTTAATCTAAGAACCTTTCTCAACTCCTCTTTTGGAAGTCATCAACCCACTTTTTTTTCCTTCTCCAAAACAACTTCCCCAGTCAACATGGAACAGGGGAATGATAGTCACATGATCTAGGTTTAAGTTCCAAGTCTGACTAGCTCTGCCCTTGAACAAACCCTTCTCAGACTCAACTTCCTCATCAGTAGAGAGAGGTATTAATATTTGCCTTAGTTATACTCAAAGGGCTATCATAAAGAATGTTCTTTGTAAATTCTAAGAATGAGGGCTATCATTATTAAGTCCTCATTCTTAATAGATGGATTTTATTTTGGGGGAAGATCCAGAAGCCACTTGGTGCAATACAGATTGAATAAGATTTTTTGGTCGACGAGGAGATGTCATTATAAAATATTAAGACTGAGTTTATGCTATGGCTCCCATATCATCCCTGAAGGACATTCCCACAGAGGCATTCCAGATAGGTTTTGAGCACTAGACCCTTAAGAAATGTTTCTTGATTGGGTAGATTGTAAGTTTCTTGAGGACAAGGGCTATCCCCAGTGCCTGGCACAGAGTAGATGATTAATAAATGCTTGTTGATTAACTGATTAAGCCAATGGTCTCCCAAGGTAATCACGCTAAGGGATTTTTCTATTTCTTCTTTTTGTATTTCCTTTCTCTCAGCTTGACAATCATACCTCCTACTCTACAGCTAGAGGGACATTTCCCTGGCCTTCTAAGGGGTAGGGAAAACTCTCAGCTTTGGCAACAGGGTCACCTGTTGGATAGATTTAAGGTATCCATGTAGGTGGTGATGAAAGGAAACCCTTTGGATATTCTACTGAATACTCCACACAGTAGGTGTGTTTGAATTCTTCTTGAAGGCATGACATCCAAAAATAATGTAGAAGGTAGATCTTGAGAGAAGATGATGCCTCACCAATATAGAGTCAAAGGAAAGAAAATGATTCTTTCCAGTACAGGGTTTCAAAGAACAAGCATGCTGTTTTGCAGGGCACTGTCACCAGCCAGTTAAGGTTGGGCACCTGACTCCTTTCCCAAGATAGGATCTTTGACTGCTGTTATTACCAGCCAGGTGTTGGCTCTACTGCTCAACCACAAATATGGGTCCTGTTTGTGGTTTGAAGAAACATAGTTTTTAACATACTTGAGAAGGACAGTGCCAGTGTAAGGTAAAGACCTAGGAAGAGATGGTTTACTATTCCTAGACAATCCTTCATAAGGGCTTCAAAAAGCCCACTGGGCTCACATCTGCCCTTAAGATGCCAAGATGGCTAATGAACAGGCAAAATGTGGAGCACATTTGGAAGGGTGTGTGTCAATGGAAGTGATAATCACCCTCTAAATTCTGACAAGAAGCCTAATTTGCATCTTAAATATATACAGATATAAATTAAAAACAATATTTATTGAAATATACAAATAAATAACTTACTTTGAAGCAAAATGCCTAAACTTACTTTCTAATCAAACTTTTTTTTTTATTCTTAAATATTAAGGGGAACACTGGGTATCACTCATCATGTGATATTCCCATGGTTATGTGCTTCTTTTATGAGGTGGCTCATTTAAAGTGGGCTCCATTGAACATATAGTATAATTTTGAGTGGGTTTGCTTTGCTTTTAAGTGGGCCACCCAGTTTAAAGTGTTCACAACTGAAAATGGACTACAAATAAAAAAATTAGATTGGGAGTCAACAGACTTAGGGGTATTCCTGACTCTGCCAATAACCAGCTATGTAACCTTGGGTAAGTCACTCTTCTGAGCCTCAGTTTCCCTAACAATAAAATGAGAGGATTAGATTAGAGCAGTAGTTCTTAATCTTTTCTGTCACAGACCCTTTTGACAGTCTGGTGAAGCCTTTGGACTCCTCCTCAGAATAATATTTTTAAATACATAAAGTAAAATACATAGGATTAAAAAGGAAAACAATTATATGGAAATACAATTATCAATTTAAAAAACACACACACAAGGAAGGTCATGGACCCCAAGTAAAGAACTGTTGGATTACAGGATCTTTGAGGTCCCTTCTAGCAATAACATTCTATGATTCCATATTGGCATGCTGCCACCATGTTATCAGGAGTGTTGCATGCTAGAATTATCAGCACCATAACAATAAAAGAATTAGGATTAGGGTATAGGTTTATTATTTTACCTCTCTTTGTAACTAGAGATAAAATGTTAAAGAAAAATTAGAGTTTCGTATTGTATTCTTGGGCAAAGAGAAGGCTGCCAATCATGAGAACAGAAGGAGGAATGGTCTAGAGCCCTTGACGATTCTGTTGATGACTTAACGGGGAGTGGGCTCCCCTTTACTAGGTGCCTTCAAACAGAAGATCACAGGTTATGGAACTGGAAGGGATCTTAGAGACTGAATTAGTCTAAAGCCTCATTTTACAGAGCAGGAGACTGAGATCCAGAGACGGGAAGTGATTTGTGTAAGGTCACATAGTTACAAAGTAGGAAAGCTGGAGTTTGAACTCAGGTTCTCTGACTTTGAATCCAGTACTCTTTAAAAGATACTGATAGGCTGGTCATCCGCGATGGAGGGGAGTCCTGCTTCAGGAGTTGGTGAGCTAGATGGACCCTGAGGTCCCCCTGCAAACCCAAAATCTGCTATTCTGTGACATGGCCTAAAGATGGCAAAATCTTGGGAATCTCAAATTAATCACTAATTTTAGCATGCCCATTTTGTACTTTAAAAAATAAAGGAAAACATTTGTTTTTGTTGAATAAGATAGACTATTAGCCAACCCTCAAAAGAAGGAAATCTGTTGCAGACTAAACTGTTTCTCTTTAGGGAGAGTTTTCACATTTCTACAGGGATACAAAATGGACATGGCTTTGATTAACTGACAATGGACAAATTTCCCGCCAGCCCCCCTCCCCAACCCCCCAGGTCATCCAATAGAAAAAAGTCCGTGAGCACCTTCCTTGGGTTATTAAAGCTTCTAGCTCACATATCCAAACATTTGCAGGACCTCTCCTCTTTCCCTTTAGAGAAATTGTTCTTCAAAGCCCTGTAGGCTGTGCATTCTCTCACTTAGCTCCACCACTTTACAGGAATTTTTAGGCGATCAAAAGTAATAAACATTGACACCAGTTTCCTAAACTCCTTAGCATTTGCTTGAGCCAAACCCTGATAAACCAGATTACTAAGGGTACTAGGGGTCTTCTGAGTAACTAGGCCAAGGATCTTTGCTGTCGAAAATCTTTCTAAAATTTCAGCATCTACTTTCTCATTTTAGTATAGAGAGGCCTAGCAAAGATTCGTCTTCTATAAAATGAGGAGGTTGGATGAGATGATTTATCAAACCCCTTTTAGCTCTGATATTGATAGATCATAAGATTAGAGTTGGAAGGGACCATTAAAAAATCATTCCATTCCATCCAACCTTTTCATTGTACAGATGAGAAAAATGAGTCCCAGAGACTTGGCCAAGATCAAGGTTAGTAATATGGCCAAGAATTGAACACAGGCCCTTTGACTCCATATATCCAGTGTTCTTTCTATGATGCTATAGATGATTTATGCCCCCCATGATCCTAATTAGAATCATGCTTTTTAACATTAATTCTCCTTATGTAGACAATATAAGACTGAGTGTGCTGACCTTATAGCATTCTTTGAATAAATATTTGATATCAGCTTGCTTCCTTCACCAACTCATTCAAGAAATATTTGCCGAGTACCTGCTATGCGCAATTAAGAACTGTGTGAGGAAGAGGTATAAGACACTCAAGTCCCTCCCCATTTGTTGTTTGATTAATTGTTATAAAACTCCCAGCTCACTGACGTGCCCCAGTACATTAACTTCGAGGGAGAAAGAGCTGGCCCGTTCATAGCGGGGCATACTTCTATGAGCTGACTTTTTAGGTACTGAAGGAAAACCTCTGGTTCTTTGAATAATGACTGTCACTTGGTCAGTCGATCACCATACTATCCTTTCCCCAAGGCAGATAATTCCAGACAGTGACACTCTTGGGGCTAGGGAAAGCCATGGATTAGGAGGTGGAAGACCTGGGTTCTAGTTCTATGTCAGCCACTTAGCAGCTATGTGATCTTGATGAAGTTCTCCACTTTCTAGGACTCAGTTTCCTTTACCGTAAAATGGGGGATGTCCCTTCCAGCTCTCACAGTCTATTTTCTAAGCAATCTTCTTGCTGGTATATTGGGAGAAATCCAGTTCTCAGACCTGCCATCTTTTTCACCACTATTGGTGCTTTTCTTTCTTTGATGCACTGAACTCATGCCCCTCTCCACAAAAATAAAATTAAATAAAAAAAATCAAACGTGGAATATAATATTATCTTAAAGACCAATGAAGACACAATTCCTTATAGGTCTGCTGGGGAAGAAAAAAAAACACAGCCAAGTCTGGCACCACATTAAGGCTCCAGATCAATAAATCAAAGAGAAGGGCCTGGAAGTGTCCCAAACCCATTTTCTTCCCAGGGTCAGAACTCATCAAAAGATTGATTCAACCAAATCCATCAGTGCTGATAAGCTGTGACATTTGCAGCTTCATCAGGTAGTAAATCAAACTTGCTTCTCTTCTGTCAGAATCACTCCTAGTGGCAGCTCTCGGGAAGGGGAGGACCGAAACGATAGGGATCCGAGAGGCAGGAAGGAGAGGAAGAAGGACTATGGGGCGGGCAGGGGAGGTCAAACTAATGAATCAAAGCATTAATAGCACTTTGCTGCCTTTCAAAAGCAGTGCAAAATACAAACTATGATACAAAAGATCTCTGAAGATGCCAGGTGCTTTTAGAAAAACACACATACACAATACACAATAAAGAGAAACATTATTTTTAAAAAATGCAGCTAAAAAATGGCAGCTTTTCAAGTCCCAGTGAGAAAAGCATCTGTCCAAAGGTGGGGAGGAAGGAGGAAAGAGAGCAAGAATTGTTTCACATCACAGTTATTTCATTCCAAAATCTCTAACGACTAGGGGGAAAGGGCATGATGTGGGGTGGGGAGGGGTGGAGGACGAGAGAGAGGAGATGGGGAGAGGAAGGAGAGGGATCTCCTGGACCAGACATTCAGCTCAGGCCAGCAGTCCTATCACATTGATCAACATGCTTCCTGACACTCTTTTTCAAATAAGACCGTCTGCGAGGGATCAGATCCTGGCTCACACCTAGAGCCATCCTCACCTGGGGGAGCCCTACTAAAAAACTCCCGAAGATGCCAATCTGAGAATTTCGCCTGAGGCTCATCCTGCTTCACACTCCTGTGATCAGGTTCCATTTGAGCCAAGGCAGTTGAAAGTCATTACTTAATTAGACATAATCCTTCCCATTACAGTTCTTTTGCTCCTTTTCTATCACTTATCTTTGTTCCTTTTTTAGGGTGTTTTGTGTGTGTGTGATTTATTTTGCTTTTTTCATTAAACAAAGTTGGAAATGAGAGTGTCACAAGTAATAATAATCATTTAAAAAAAAAGGGCACCATATACAGTAGAAAGAGTGTACAAGTGGAGTGAGAGCCAAGCTACTGGCACCTGAGTAGAATTACAAAACCTCTGATGCCGTACTGCTTGACGCCTCTTTTAGAGTTGAGTCTCCTGTTGTCTGAGTCTTGAATGAGAGGATGTAAGGCCTTCTAAAAGGTATGTTCATTCTTCCACTACTCTCTTTATGTCCCATTTTTCAACTCCCATTCCTAGAGAAATAAACAGAAAGAGTGAAATACACAAAAACACATGGCCAGAGATCATTATTCCAAGAACTAAGAGTACTGATTGAATTCAGTTCATATTTATTAAGTGGCTGCTATTTGCAAGACCTATTGCAAGCCATAGCTTAAATTACTCTAATGTTTTATTGCTGCATTTTAAAATTTTTAATATTTTATTTTTCCCAATAACATGTAAAAACATTTTTTTAGGCAATTGGGGTTAAGTGACTTGCCGAGGGTCACACTGGTAGTAAGCATCTAAGACCAGATTTGAACTCAGGTCCTCCTGATTCCAGAGCTGGTGCTCTATCCACTGCACCAACTAGCTGCCCCAAAAAACAATTTTTAACTTTCGTTTTTTACAATTTTGAGTTCCAAATTCTCTCCCACCTCCTTTTCCTCCCAAATCACTGAAAAGGCAAGCAATTTGATAACAGTTATACATGTGCAGTCATGCAAAACATATTCCCACATTAATCATGTTGTGAAAGAAAACGAAGACAAAAAAAATCAAGGGAAAAAAAACCCAAAATAACCATATGCTTTGAGCTGTATTCAGATTCCATCAGTTCTTTCTCTGGAAGTGGATAACATTTTTCATTATAGGTTCTTCAGAAATGTCTTGGTAGATTATTGTATTTCTCAGAATAGTTAAGTCATTCGTAGCTGATCATTGAACAATGTTGCTGTTACTGTGTACAATTTCTCCTGGTTCTGCTCACTTCTTTCAGCATCAGTTCACGTAAATCTTTCCAGGTTTTTCTGAAACCACCTTGCTCACTATTTCTTACAGCACAATAGTGATCCCTCACAATCATATACCACAATTCGTTCAGCCAATGCCACATGGATGCATTTTTAAAAACATCAATGTCACATTCTACTGACCTACCACTAACAAAATCTTCCCTTTTAACAATGAAGTATTATTAATGTAAAACAAACCAATTCGTCTATTAGGGTATGCCATACCTCATTCCGAATCATTAGTTTATCACTTCTCTCCTGCAAAGAGGAAGGTATGGTTCATCATCAGTCTTCTAGAGTGGAAATTAGTCACTGCATTGATCAGAATTCTGATGCAATATCACAAAATTCAACTATTCAACTAATACTTAGTAAGCGTCTATACACATGGCCCTCTATTAATTCAATTACATCCATTGACATTTATTAAGCATTTATTAAGTGTTTGAGACTATGTGCTAAGCTCTGGGGATATGTAGGAATTCTCAGAATATAGAAGTTTATATTCTAATATGAGAGTGAGGGATGCAACAGAGACAGTCATTCTGTCTGCTAACATTTGTTAAGTACTTTCTATGTGCCAGACACTGGCACTAAGCTCTGGAGATAAAAGAAAAGCAAAACAAAACAAAATGAAAAAGCAGTCTCTGTCCTCAAGAAGCCCACAGTCCAACAGACAAACAAAGGCAAACAGGTAGAAATCTAATATATCAAGGATAAAACTGGGGGATAATCTCTGAGAGAGAGCATGAAGATTAGGATCTGGGAAAGGTTTCTTGAAGAAGGTGAGATTTTAGCTAAGACTTGAAGGAAGCTAGGGAAGCCAAAAGGCAGAAATGAGGAGGGAGAGCGCTCCATGCAGAGTGGAGAGCCAGGGGAAAAGCTTAGAAATGGAGCACAGCAAGGAGGCCAGTGTCATTGGATCATAGACTACATGGAGGGGTGTAAGGTGTGAGAGGACTGGCTTTGCAAAGGAAAAATGTGGTAGGAACAAAATAGGTATGCCAAGCCCTCTAGGAAATTATGACGAGGAACAGAGATCTCTTATAACTGGGGAGATGAGGCAAGATTTCATGGAGGATTTGGCGGCATCTCAGCTGAACATCATATATGACCTTGGTAAGGACCAGCTTAAGAGGACCATAGTATTCAGAGATGGAAGGTAACTGGAAAGATGACCTAGTCTGGCCTGGCCCCTTTGCTCTACTGAGGAAGAAAACAGGCCCAAAGAGATTAAGAGACTTGTCTATGATTGGATAGCTAGAAAGTAGCAAAGCCAAAATGCAAACACAGGTTCTCTGATCCCAAATCAAGCGCTCCTTTCACTACAACCTGATTGGTTTCTGTTGGATCTGTCACTGGTGACAGAGAATATGATTCACCTTGTTTCCTAGGATCTAGGCTTCTGTGGGTCAGCATTTCTAGTACTACATAAATCAAAAGGCAAAAACTGAAAAAGATTAGAGCCCCCTACCTCTCCGCCAAAAATTTCTCCACTCCTAACTTTAACCACCACACAAAATAAGCATGAGAATTTTGGACCATTTAATGCTACCAGACATCTTTATCTAAGGTCCTTTCTACATCGCAGGTTCTTATTCAGCTACTACTAGTAGTGGGAGGTAATGTGTGATGGAAAGAGCACTGAATGTGGTGTCAAAAGACCTGGTTCAGAATTAGCTTTTCCACTTAAAAGGGAGGTATGTCCTTGAAACGGGGAAGAGGACGGTGGTGGTGGGGAGATTAATGTTCTCTAAAGTCTCAGCTTCAAACTGTATGATTTTGCCTCTTGGCCTCAGTTTGTAGAATGGGGTGATTGGATTCAGTCCTCTCCAATTCTGACACTGTGATTCTGCAATGGCTCTGTACAGTTATCAATATACATTATATACATATATACATTATATATAATATATATATACATGTAGTGTATATATATTACATTTTATATACATTATCTTATTTGATCCTCACAACAATCCTGTGAGGTAGGTAGAGCAAGTGTTACTAGCCCCCTTTATAAAGAAAAAACTGAGGCCCAAAGAGAATTAGTGACTTGCCCAAGGCCACAAAGGCACAAAATGGCAGAGGCAAGACTAACCAGATCTTCCTATTCTAAATCCATGCCTTCCATGATACCCTAAAGCCTAAGCATTATTCTAGGGCTTCAGTCCCTTATAGCTGTGAGAGTCTACAGTTCTGTGATTCCTAGACACAGCCTTTTCTATGTGAGTTTCAGTGGGAATTTTATATGCGTGAAAGACATTTGGGACTTTGGGCAAGTTCTTTCTCCTCTCTGAGCTGCAAAATGCCAGGGTTGGATTAGATACCCTCATCTAAGTTTCCTTCCAGTTCTGGCATTCTAAGGCCTCATCCAATCCTTTCAACATAGAGTATGATTTAAAATTCATTGATTCAGCAGACATTTATTGAGCATATGTTATATTTAAGATGCTGTGTGAGGTATGGGTGCTACAAAGATAAAGAATAAGAGTCCTTCTCAAGAAGCTTAAAATCTATCACAGGGCTGTGATATGTGCACGAATAAGAATGTGATAACCTCATAGGTCTAGTGTGACGGTGATCAAGGAAATGGAAACCTTTGGGAGTGCTTTGTTTTACTGGCAGCTGAGATCAATCTTTCATGAACTGAAGTGATGTTCGCCTCAGTTTCTATAGTTATCTCTGAGTCAGAAACAGCCTTGGCAAAGAACCTAATCCAAAAGGAATGCCATGAGAGCATTTAATGTTTGCTATCGATTGTGTCATAGCACAGTCTAATTCTAAACATTTATCCCAGACAAATGTCACAATCCACTGGAAGGATATATGCCTGATAAATGTTAGAGGAGCCACAAATTAGACCAGGTAAGGATTTCAGGACAGGGCAGTTGAAAGTAAGAGCATCAGTCCTGGTTCCCTTAATGTCTAACAATACACACGATCTAGAGGGAAGAGCTGCAGGGCACTATGAATACCAGATGTTCCACAGATTGTTTATATCTAAAATGATCAGGGAACTTTCCAAGGAAATACATTAGAATCTAGGAATTTTGCCAGTGGTTAACACCCATATTTCTATCCAATAACAACTCCATTGTTCAGGAAAATACATAGATTCAGCCAATTCAGAATGGGCCCCAATGGCTGTCATGTGAATTACATTTGTTCTACAGTAAAAATAATGACATCAATTAGAGAGTTTAATAGGGTTAGTGATGTGAAAACTCCAAGGCTTGCACTCAATGGAACAAATTAAATTAATCTGATTTCACCACTAATGTAATCATATGTATCATGGTTTACATGGGCAAGTATGTTTCCAATGACTATCATCCTGTACTATTTGTTTTGACATCAACTGCAAATGGTTAAATTGGGAGGCTTTTTAAAATCTTTTTCCTTTCCTTTCTTTCATTTCTCCAGATTTTTTTTTCTGGAAGAGAAAGCTGCTAACATAATTAGTGGCCATTTCTGTTAGAATCTGACTCTTCTCTGGGCCTGTGATCCCTGCTACAGGAAAGGCTAGATTGCTTGAGCTCAGGAGTTCTGAGCTACAGTAGGTTAAGCTATGCATGGTTACCCATACTAAGTCCAGTACCAGTATGGTAAACCTCCAAGAATGGGGCATCAGCAGGCTGCCTAAAGAGGTACAGAGTAGCCCAGATCATAAATGGAGTAGGTCAAAACTCTCATGCCAATCAGTGTTGGGATTAGGCCTACAAGTGGCTACTATACTTTAGCCTAGACAAGTTACGGACATTGAATCTTCTGTCTCTGTCTGTCTGTCTGTCTTTGGACATACACACACACACACACACACACAGATACATACATACATATGTACACACACACACATATATATATATAGAGAGAGAGAGAGAGAGTCTCTGTCTGTCTGTCTGTCTCTCTCTCACACACACACAGAGATACATACATACATACATATATACACACACATATATATATATAGAGAGAGAGAGAGACAGTCTCTGTCTGTCTGTCTGTCTGTCTGTCTGTCTGTCTCTCTCTCTCACACACACACACACACACAAATGGGTTGTCTCCAGCAAACCCCAGGAATGTTTTTACCCACAGTCACAAAGCAAAAGAGACGTGTGAGGAGAGGGTGTCGGGGAAGGCCTGGCGTCGCTAAGGCATGGACAGTATCCCTGCTCTTACTGCGCTTCTCTTTTCTAGGTATTTTTCTTGTTCTCCCATAGAAAGCCAAAGAAGTCTTTAAGGCAGAAAGTCTTAAAGGTGAAAACACATTTTTCCCTAAGCAACGATATTACATTAATGAAGAAATGCAGAGATTTATCTGTCTACTCAACTTCAAGGGGCAGAGCCCTTCCAGGTCTCTGGGATGATGTGCAGAAAGGTAGAAACCAATTCAGAGTTAGAATATCATCCCTTCCTCACACAGTTCACTTTACCTCTTTGGAAATCAGTTTTCCCATTTATGAAATGAGGATGATCATCATAGGATCATAGATCTAGAAATGGAGGGAAATCAGAGGCCACATAGGCCAACCTTCTTTTTATAGATGTGGAATTTAAAGGTTGTAGAGATTAAGTAATCTGCTCTAAATCATCCAGATAGAGAGGTCAGAGGGGGGATGTGACCCCAGACCCTGTATCTCAAGAACCAGGGCTTTTTCTAACGTTCCACACAGTACCTCCCTCCTTGTCTCCTCTACTCCTCTTGCCTCACTTTCCTGGGCACTGTGAACAGGAAAGCATTTTTGAAAACAAGGACATACTCTGAAAAAATGCAAGGTATCATTCACCTAGGCCAAGTATATTATTCATTTATAAGAATGCACACGAAAATATTTTAAACCAGAGATGTCTTCTTCCGTCTTCAAAGAGTATGAAAAAAAAACCAGATTAAAATGTAATAAATGCATAAATACAATACAATGTAGATAATGTTAATTTGTGGTTTTCTAAGTCAATATGCTGCCCACAGGGATCCATTCCTATTTGAGTTTAACATGACTGGTCTAAAAAAAATTCACTAAACTATCTACAAATGCAAGGTCTAGTTAGATGATGTTGGAACAAGCAAGTAAGATTGTTTAGGGAGATCTGGTAGAGCAAAAAGGGAAGATGATCTAAAATGGTCCCCAAAGACCACCCCAGAGTAGGATAGGGATAAAGGAGAAGACACCACAAGTACAACACAGAATCTTTTTGCTGGAAAAGACCTCATTAAGTCCAATCTCTAGCTGAATAGATATCCTGTGGAAAGCAGTCTGGCAGAAATTAGGGTTAGAAAAATATCTAAGTTCCAAATGGATATATGACTTAGATATAAAACGTCACATCATAAACAAAGTAGAAGAGGAAGGAAGAAATTACCTTTCACATCCATGGATTGCAGAGAAGTTCATAAGCAAATAAAGATCAGAAAGGACCACAGAAAATAAACTAGATAATTTTGATTACATAAAATTTTTAAAGTTTTATACAAATAAAACATGCATCTAAGATTAGAAAGGAATTAGGAGTGACTCAAATTTTTAAGAATAAGAGCAATTTTCTCATTGACAAGTGGTCAAAAGGATATGAATAGGCAGTTCTCAAAAAAGAAATCCAAGCATTCAATAGGCATATGAAAAGAAATGTTCCAAATAATTAATAATTAGAGAAATACAAATTAAAGCAACTCTAAAGTTTCATCTAATATCATCACATTGGCAAAGTTGACAAAAAAGGAAAATGACAAAGGTTGGAGGGCCTGGTCTGTTATTGTACTATTAGTGGAGCTGTTTATTAGACTTCTCATTCTAGAAAGCAATTTGGAATTATTCATAAAACATCACTAAGCTGTCTATACCCCTTGACCCAGAAAGAACTCTATTAGGTCTATACCCCAAAGAGAATAGTGGAAGAAGAGAAGGACCCATATGTATAAAAATATTTGTAGTGGCACTTTTTATAGAGACAAAGAACTGAAAACTTACAGAATGCCCATCAATTGGGGAACGAATAAACAAATTACGGCATATCAATGTAATGACTCCATTTCAGAGAAGCCTAGGAAGACTTGGCTGAACTGATGTCAGATAAAGTGAGAGGAATCAGTAGAACAAGTCATACAATAAAAACCACACAGTAAAGACAAATAACTTTGAAAGATGTAAGCACTCTGATAAACAAAACAACCAACCATGATTCCAGAGGACCAGTGATAAAACATGGCACAAACCTCCTGAAAGAGGGATGATGGACTCAAGGTGCAGAATGAGACAATATTTTTGTACAAGGCTAATGTGGGAATTTCTTTTGCTTGACTATGTGTATTTCTTGCAAGAGTTTCATTATTTTTTTTCTCAATGGGGAGAAGGGTGGAGGTAAGAAGAAGAGAAAATCAATGCTTATTAATTGAAAAAAAAATCAAGACAAAAAAAAGTAGAGTTTAGAGTCCCACCTGGTACGGTAATAATGTTTTAGAGTTTTAGAAACTGAGACCAGAGAGAGGAAGTGATTGAGCTGCCCAAAGCCACTGGGCTAGTTAGAGAAAGAGCTAAGCCTAGAACCCAGATTTCCTGATGCTCATTCCTCCTCCCACTGTGCCATTTTGGATCATTATTTTCACATTACCAGATTCAAAGGCATGAAAAGAAATACACGCTATGCACAGCCTAAGCCCGCGTCATTCTTTGAGAGCAAAATCTCTAACTATCCTGACTCATCCGGAGGTCTAGAGGTGACTCAAGGACAGAGACTGTAGCCAAACCTTTATGTCTTCTTACAGGTTGCTTGGGGAGCTGGAAGGCTCTATTCTTGCCAGTCCTGACGGTTCTGGTAAAGCCGGAGCTCTCTCACCTTTGCCTTCCTAAGGACGTGACCCCGGCAAGGAGAACCGCCAGATGTCGGTGGGTGTCGCTTCAGAACCGCCGCGCTGTTCACTGGCATTGAACACTCAGTATCGCTGGTGTCACAACTTGAGATGGGAGAATTTTCCAGAGTTCGGTGCCTAAAAATTGGAGACTGACAGCACAGAGAATGAAAATCCCACACGAGGCATGGTTTCCCTGATGGTCTGTATTTTTCCAGGAGCAAGTTTTATTTTAAAGTAGAAAATGGCTCTTGGGAGGCAGCATGATCCAATGAAAAGAGAACTGGGTTTGGAGTCAGAAGAACTGAGTTTGAAACCTGGTTTCGCTTACTATCTGCATGACCTTGGGCAAGTTACCTCCTCTCTCGGCCTCAGTCTCCTCACCGTACAGATGAGGGAGTTGGACTAAATTTTCTCTAAAAACATTCTCAGCTCAAAATTTTATGGCACAATGAAAAAATAAAAATAATAATGCTACATTATTGCTAGAATTCTTTCTACTTTCATATATGCATTTCTCCTTTGTTGTCTGGAAAATCAAGTTAGGTGAGAGACTAAGAATGATATGCCTAGCAACAGTCTTGGAGAATTAAATCAGAGAGCATAGAAACTTGAGCTAAAGGGGACCTTAGGGAACAGTTAATTCAATACTCTTACTGTACATATAGGTAAACAGAAACCCACAGAGTGACTTGCCCAAGGTAACTTGGAAAGCAGGCAGCAGATCTGGATTCAAAGTCCTGGTCACTACCAATCCGGGCATCTTTCAGTTGTACCACACTTGGATATCACTCATGTAATTCAGTCATCTTGGGTGGCCTTGTATCTACTAAGGATGGATTTAGGATATGACATCTGTCTGTTCATCTGTCCACCCACAATTAACAGACATGTCCACCTACACTCAAAGGCATTTTATGGATGATGAAATAAAAATTGAGCCATTACAAAAAAATATATTTATAGGCTGTGGCCACCATGATTGCTTATTACCAATCCTCTTTGCCCTACCCAACATCAATAATTGATTAATCCCTCTGTAGGAAGTATTTATGATTTTAAGTTTTACCAAATGTGATCTCCTAAGAATCAAAGGTTCAAACTCTACAAATATTTCTTTTTATTATTATTATTCCTAAGAGAATCTTTAATTCATTTAAATGTGGGCCTGGAACCCTAAAATGTTCTTTGGCAGAAGAGTATTCTAATCGTTATTAAATCAGGTGGCTCAAAGTTCCCCAAGAACTCATTAATACCATGGATGTGCTTATTTTCGCTTACCACCCAAAGTTTCTTCCAATCATGGTTATAATTGTATCCAGGTGGTGGAAGAATCCTTTCCCCCCAAACCCTGTCCTCCCTTTACACACTTCCCAGGCAAAGATGTCAGCTGAGCAAGTCAATAAGTTAATGCTAAATCACAAGGGCCAGAGCTAAAAGAGAGATTAGAGATCATTTAAACCAACCTCTCATCGTACAAGTGAGGAAACTGAGGCCCAGAGGGTTGAAGTTACTTGGAAATGGTTAGATAACAAGCAAGACAGCTGGGATTCATAACCAGACCTTCTGAATCCAAATCCATCACTTTTATCCATGACATCATACTAATGATTACACTACATAATCACAATGCATATGATCACAAGGTTAAAAAAAGATAAAAGAAAGAAGGCATCAATAGATGGTATGTGAGTTTCTAATGCTCTAGAACTGCTCTGTTCTGGCCACAGTGACCCCATGGAGGTCCAGCTAATTCAGCATCAATTTTATTTGCAGCCATTCTCCAGAAGCTCCCTTGTCCACAGGGACTGATTGTGGCAAAGGCCAGAGCAGTGATAGAGACCAATAGCCAAAGAAAAGAAAAGGGCAGGAAATCCAAAAGGAAGAGGAATTAATGAAATATGAATGAGTGAGAGGAAAACCGGCCAACATTTTTTAACACCATCCTTCTAAATGACAACCTGGCTTTCATTTCCTCTGCTAGAAGGAGAAAAAAAGGATAGAGGAGAAACTCAGGAAGATTGGGAGGCGCTTTCTTTAAATAACCCCTATGGAAACCCAATATGGAAGGCCACTAGAAGATACCCTGTTCCCATGTAGGTTATGATGGAGAAGAGTGAATGATATTTTTTTAGCTTTCGTTAATTACTCTTGACATTTTCTCTTATTAACTCAGATTTATTTGAGGTCTAAATCTAGGACCAGTCTCATAAGAGGTTAAAAAAAAAGTATGCATGAAACAAAGAAATAAAAAGTCAAGGCTCAGCATATGGTATATGGCATGTATATTATACATAATGGCCTGTCCTCCTTACCTATTCCTCCCCCTATTTCCCTCAGTCTGTCCCAAACCCTTCCCAAAGTGAAGTAAATAAATTAATCCAGATGCAATTAAGAAAAGTGCCTGAAAGTCATCAAAGAGAAAGACAGTTAGTGAAAGGAGCACTGGTCTTAGAGTCAAAATGTTTGACTTCTACTCTTGGCTCCAATACCAGTTATCTGACCCAAGATAACTCACTTTAGGTCTCTGAGACTCAGTTATATCATCTATGTTTTCTAGAATATAGTGAGCTTGATGTAGTGAAAAGATCACTGGACTCGAAACAAGGAAAGGATTTGAGTTTTCGCTCTGCCATTAACTTGAAGTCAAATCTTAGAGAAGGTCACTCCCACTCTCTATGCTCTAGTTTCCTCTTATGTAAAATGATTTCCTCATGTAAAATTATTAGGAATAATAATATTTCTATTAACTCCTTCAAAAGTTTGAAAGGAAAGAGCTTTGTAAACCTTAAAATGTTCTAGAAATGTGATTTATCATTCAAATAGCAAAAATAATAAGTATTATTTCACTGAAATAAAGAGTCAGTATGATAACAGTGGAAAGAGGGGCTTTGGAGTCAGAAGACCTGAGTTCAAATCCTGCCTCAGGCACTCAATACTTGTATGACCCAGGACAAGTTACACCTTTCTGAGCCTCAATTTCCTCATAATTAGGAGGTCGGATGAGATGGCTACTGAGGGCCCTTCTAGCTCCAAACTTATGATCCTATGAAAATATATAATTGTGAAGTATAATTAATATTAATAATAATGGTGATAAAAATAATTATTCTTGACACGGCAGCTTTCTAACCATGACCTCAATAGCTGCTGTCTGTAAGGGGCATGAGAGATTACCTGGGGACTTGAGGTTCCAGATTTGGGTTCAATTGCTAGACCCAGTGTGATGCCCCCTGCTAAGGCTTTCTTGAGGCTTTCTTTGACCTCTGTGAGTTCCAACTCCAGATTGACGCGCTCTGTCTCCTTCTGTTTACACTCCTCCTCCAGCTTCTTCAGCTTATCTTCTAGAATAACTTGCGTCTTCCTGCCTAGAACCCAAAGAAAACAGTATTCTTTCAATATCAGGCAAAGGTTTTCAAAATCAAAAAGAAAATGGCCTCTGAAACCAGGTTCAAAGGTGGGTCAAAAAAAAAAAAAGGTTTCTCTATTAAAGCCAATGACCAGGTCTATGCCATCTTCACGTTTCTTAAATTGTGGAACAAAGTCTTGTTTTCTAGAATATGGAGAGCATGATGTAGTGAAAAGATCACTGGACTAGAAGAAAGAAGGAAGGGGCCTAAGTTCTCACCCTGCCACTCACTCTGAGTCTAATCTTAGACAGGGGTCAGTTAAGTGGCTTAGTGGTCAGAGAGCTGGGCCTGGAGTCAGGAAGACCTTAGTTCAGATACTTCCTAGTGGTGTGACCCTGGACAAGTCACTTAATCCTGTATGCCTCAGTTTCCTCAACTGTAAAATGAGCTGAAGAAGGAAATGGCAAACCACTCCAGTATCTTTGCCAAGACAACCCCAAGTGGGGTCACAGAGTTGAACATGACTGAAATGACTGAATAATAACAACAACAAATCTTAGACCAGATCACTCCTTCTCTCCATGCTCTAGTATCCCCTTATGAAAAATGACTAGAATAAATATATAGCCCCCCTTCCCACCTGCATAATTCTGGGATTTTGGTGCTCAAACTATACTGGAGTGTAGTTTGCTAGAAGGAAACATGGATCCTTTCCAGTTCTAGATTTATTACATATTTAGGTGTGACTGGTTTTCCTTCATTGGCCCAATTGGCTCAATGACTATCTGTTAATTACAGATAGTTTCTCTGCTTTTCTTCCTCTATCAGACCCTCCAGGACTAATCTTATTAGCCTTGCCACATTAACAAACACTAATCAGCACTTGTATTGGACTTTAAGTTATCACTCTCTCTCTTATTCCACATAAAAACCCTATGAGGTAGGTGAAGTAAACATCATCCCATTTTACTGAGAAGAATCCTTAAAATGGGAGCATCTTCCCCATTTCTCCCCCTCATCCATCCCATGAGAACTATTACTTTGTCCTCAAATATCTCAGAGTACCTTGTTTGGATCTCTCCTTTGCACTTATCTCACCCTCTCTGTATCCGCTATTTGTATATAAGTTCTTCTCTCCTTTGAGATTATAAGCTACCTGAGAATAGGATCATTAAAAAAAGCATTTATTGGATGTCTACTATATGCCAGGCACTGTACTAAGCCCTTTACAAATATTATTTCATTTGATCCTCACAACAAACCTTGGGAAATGGGTGTTATTATTACCACGCCCACTTTAAAGCTCAGGAAACTGAGTCTAAGAAAGGTTAATTGCCTTGCCCAGGGTCACACAGCCAGGAAGTGTCTGAGGCCTGATTTAAGCTGAAGTGTTCCTGACTGTTGACCCAGCTCTCTATACTCCATCTAGCTGCCATATTTAGTACCTTATTCAGTGTCTTATACAAACTAAGCATAAAAAAAGTTTGTTGAATGAATCACTTGAGGTTTTCTACCATCCCTACCTATCACTTCCTAAAAAAAGCAGAGAAAAAAATCCTACATTTTCCTTATTAAGCCCAGAACCCTGACCAATTTCTTTGATATTGTAATTGGTACCAGTAATGCTACTCCAATAATAGTAAATCAAGTCTGAAGTTCAAGTACTCACCCTCAAATCCCCACCTTCACCCTCATTATAAAGCCTTCCCTGGCTGCTCAATCCTATACTGATCTCTCCTTCCACAGACATCTTCTAATATTAACTTTTGGCACCAAGCATTTTGGAATCAAAAATATTAAGATGATATAAACCATCTTCTGGGACAGGGAAACAAGAGATAATAGGAAACTTCAGCTTCTAATGTCTAAATCTTGCTTCTGCAAATACTCCCTATGAATCATTATCATTGTTCTTATATATTAAACTAGTATTTAACATGTCACTGCACTGGTCTTTATCCTTTGCTAAACAACCATGCAACCGAAATCAGAGTGGCCATCTGCCATCTTTACAAGAAGAGTGCCTTGTTGGGTTGAGATATTTTAAACTAAGAGGAAATGAAACATGAGGGATCAAGAATTCTAACAGCATTCTAAGGCCAATCAAACTGAATTTTTTCCTACCAGCATTTACTTCGATGGCCGCCCTAAGATCTTTCCTTTCTTTTCGAAGCTGAGCCAGGCGGTTACGCAGAGTTTCTTTCTTCCTTAGTAAGTCTTCCTCTTTGGTCTGCAACCTCTTGGCATCTGCTTCTACACGGTTCTTCCCATATTTGTATTGGTCAGCATCTTAGGGAAAAAATGAATATGGTCAATTATACGTAATTTAGTAGATGTCAGGGTAGTTTGAAACCTGCTTGGGCAGACAATTTGAAGAGATGGACCTTTTCTTCTTCTTGTTTTTTTTTTCATAGGCTCTACATAAGCCAAATATACACAAAAGGATGAGTTTATACTGAGGGTGTGAGGTGACTATCTTGCATGCTCCCAAATTCCTTGAATCAAATCTAAACCGAGATCTAGAATAACCTACACTGGAGAAAAAGTCTCTGGGTTCTAACTTCCTTACAATGTACAACAGGTGGTTGTACATTTCAAACCAGACAGTAAGCATGCTGCTCTGGAGAGAAAGAAAGAAGTCCATGGGCTACAAGTCCAGAAGGCAGGATGGATTTGTATTCAGAAGATATGGATTCAAGTCATAACTCTAAGCTGTGTGACCCTGGTAAAGTCACTTCCGTTTTCTAAGTTATTGTTCCCTTAACTGTAAAACAAGGGCATTAGATTTCTGGAAAATCTAGAATTATGTAAGAAAAGGGACTAAAATGCTCATACCCCTGGACCCTGTAATCTCAGTACTAAGCACATACCCCAAGGAAGTCAAAGATGGTAAAGCCCATGGTGAAATAATTTAGGACCTAGGATTTGGGGGTTTTAAGTGGTGGGGGCGGGGGCAGCTAGGTGGCACAGCGGATAGACCACTGGCCCTGAAGTCAGGAGAACCTGAGTTCAAACCCGGCCTCAGACCAAACACTTGACACTTACTAGCTGTGTGACTCTGGGCAAGTCACTAAACCCCAATTGCCTAAAAAAAAAGATGGTAGGGAACTAAAAGGTCACACATTTACTCCAACTGTTACATCTTACAAATGGAGAAAATAGATGACCAGAAACATTATGCACACTTAGCATGGTCACATAAGACCTGGGCTGAGCCAAGATGTGAGCTGAAGCTTTCTGACTTCCAATCCCACGTTCTTTCCACTGAATTCTGTGGGTTCCCCAACTCACCTAGGTGGTTCAGTAATGGAGATGGGAAATAAACCCAGATCTTTTTATTTTTAATCTTTCACTTTTAATACTGTAACATATGGCCTAATTATCAACCAATCAACAAGCTAGAGGGCTCGGCAGATAGAATGGTGAGCCTGGAATCAGAAACACCTGAGTTTGAATCAGGCCTCAGACATTTACTAGCTGTATGATCCTGGGCAAGTTACTTAACTCTGTCTGCCTTAATCCACTGGAGAAGAAAATGGCAAACCACTCCAGCATCTTTGCCAAGAAAACCACATGGACAGTATGGTCCACGGTGTCACGTAGAATCAGACATGATCAAATGACTGAATAGCAACAAACTGTGTGAGGCATTGGTATGAACTAGAGAATGAATAAATGAAATAATCTCTATAGGAAGCTTGCATTCTAACTGGGGAGATAACTAAATGTATACATTTTACAGCATAAATTGAATAAACAGAAATACATACAAAGTAGTTAAATACAAGGTAGTCGTTTTTAGAGGGAAGGCACTAGCCATTGGAAGGCTCATGAAAGGCTTCATGCAGAAGACAGAACTTCAGACAAGTCTTAATGAAACGCTAGGAAGCAGAGGGAAGAAAGGAGTGAATTCTAGGTACGGGGGATGGCCAGCGCAATAGCAGTCAGGTGAAAGACAGTGTGTCACATGCGAGGAGCACAAAGGAAGGCAGTTTGGCTGGATCTCGAAGTACAGGACATAGAGTGATGTCCAAGAAAGACAGGTAGGGGCCAGGTTGTATGAGGCTTTAAAAACTAAACACAGGAGTTTACATTTTATCCTAGAGGCAATGGGAAGCCAATGGGGCTGAAATGAGTAAGGAGTCACATGGTTAGATTTGCAATTAAGGAAAATTACTCCAGCAGCAATGTAGAAGATGGGCTGGAGTGGGGTGAGGGACTTGAGGGAGGGAAACCATAATAATTAGTCCTGGCCATTTTGATAAAACTCCATGAAACAATAAGAAGATTCTATGCACATTTATATGGGGGGGTTGTTTTTCTTTTTCTTCAAACTGGGAGAGGTGAGGGCAGGACAGAAAACAAATGGTTGATAAATGAAAAATCAGTCAATCAGTGAATAAGCCTTTATGAAGTGCTTACTTCATACCAGGCGCTGTGTTAATCCTTGGGAATACAAAATAAATTTAAATTTAAAAAAGAGGGCTTAATGCTAGATGTTCCATTATGTGTACAATGCCCGGTCTATACACGGACTGCTCAGTTGGGTGAAGTAAGTATCTAGCAAACTGAATCTCTCACTTTCTATAGTGAAAACCATATGGATTTTCAATGAAAGTATGAGCTTTTTGTCCAAAGTCACACGGGTAGCAAGTAGCAGAGGCAATATTCCTGCAGAGTTATCTTTGACAAGTCAAGTCGAGAAGCATTTATTAAATGCTTACTACATCGCAGACTCTGCTAAGCACTGGGGGTACAACTTGAGCAGAAATAGACAGTCCCTGCCTTTAAGGCGAGGGGGCCTCCAATCTCCTACAGATGAGTTATCAAAGGCAGTGATTCCTCACTCTTTCATCCTTGTTGCCTTTATAATGCAACCTTCCTGTCTAGAAATGGGGATAAGAATCACTGCTCAGGGTTGTCCAATTGAGAGCACAGATGAGGTGGCCTTGTTATTCTCCTCTCCATCACTGTGACCTTTGAAGGACTTTCTGATTTGCACCAAACTAAAGGGGCCTTTCTAGGCTCATGTAGGAGACAAGAACTATCCATGCTTGATTCCTTCAGCCTAAGGAATCGATTCAAACATTGTGAAACTTGAAGAAAAAGATCATAAGAAGCATGTAATCTAGTGCTTTACTGTGCACAAAACAACTACCACCAAACACTCCCCTTGAGTTCTCCCATTTGTTTCTAACCCTGTGAGGTAGGCAGGGGTTATTATCTTCATTTTTGTAGAGGAGGAGCAGAGATGTTAAATAACTTATTCAAGGTCACATACAAAGTGAGTGGGATGAGCCAGGCTTTGAACCAAGATCTTTTGATTCCAAATCCAATGTTCTTTCTAGTAACCACAGATAATTTTAAGGATGACTTCAGGCAAAGTTAATGACTCTCAAAGTCAGTAATCTTCCGTGGATGTGAGGGATGGCCTGACAACCAAAAAACCTAGTCTTTAGTTCTTGTTTTTTTTTCCCCCCTTTGGCTAGGCAATGTGGTTAAGTGACTTGCTCAGGGTCACACAGCTAGTATGTCTGAGGCCAGATTTGAACTCAGGTCCTCCTGACTACAGGGCCAGCACTCTATCCACCACGCCACTTAGCTGCCCCTAGTTCTTATCTTGATATTAACTACCTGCGTGAGCTTAGGTAACTTGATTCAACTCTGTTTCCCATCTGTAAAGTAACATGGTTGGTCTAGGTGATCTCTATGGCACCAGTCAATGCTAATATCTTATGTTCTCAGGTCCCACTCTACATTTGACATTCTATTTTCATTGCAAATATTCTACGTCTTAAGAGCTCTTTCACTTTTGGCAGTCTGTGAATGAATAAGAAAGGATTTATTAAGTGCTTACTATGTGTGCAAAGCAAGTCAAGAAGCATCTATTAAGTACCTACTATGTTAAGTACCATGCGTTATGCTAAGCTTTGTCGTTGTTCAGTTGTTTCAGTCACGTCCAACTCTTTGTGACCCCATTTGGGGCATTCTTGGCAAAGATTCTAGAGTGGATTGTCATTTTCTTCTCCAGCTCATTTTACAGATGAGGAAACTGAGACAAACAGGCTTAAGTGACTTGCCCAAGTTCACATAGCTAGCGAGGGTCTGAGGCCAGATTTGAACTCAGGTCTTCCTGACTCCCAGCCCAGCATTCTGTAATTGTGCCACTTAGCTGCCTTTGCTAAGCACTGGTTACAAAAACAACAAAAACAAAACAAAACAATAAAGGTAATATCAGCCCACAGAGGAGATTACAATCTAATGGGGAAATAATTTGTAAACTATTATGTGCTAAGCACCAGAGATACAAATAAAAAAGTGTAGATAGCCATCTTCTTAAGGAGCCCCCTTTCTAATATGGAAACTTTTGTAAAACACAGAGCTAGAATCAAACAGTGGACTAATTAAGCTAAAACACTTCAATGACTGCATTGCTGTTCATGGTCCAGCCTAAGGACATTTTGAGAAAAAGAAAGAATTTGTGTGGCTTCACTTCTTTCTAAAGCAAGATGTTTTCACAGCAAAAGCCAACGTGAGGAAGTGTAAATTTCCAGCTCTCCTTTTGGCTCCCTGTGCAATAAACCAAGGATGTTGGTAATGTAACGGGCTGAGTTCAGCAAAAACATAGAATGCAATTATTTTTCTCTTTTGTCACCATTAGATGTCACCAAAGTTAATAAAAATTCCCCACAGAAGGCATCATAAAATAAAGGGATAAATCATCTGGCCATAAAAGAAATATAAGTATCGAAACCGAGGCACTGTGGGAACAAAGACAGAGGCAGCGATTTCAAATGATATAGATCTTGTATAACATGGCTTTTTAAGGAACCCATTAGTCCTCATTATTTTCTTTCTCCTCTTCCCCACAATGAACAATGAACACAAAATTAAAGGTGGGTAGAGGGGACAATACAGATTTGCTGGTTGTATAAGCACATTTTTTTTTTAGTGGAACCAATATTATAACAAGGAAATTACAAAACAAACCGTCACCTTGAAAAAAGAAAACATAGGACAAAAATAATTTAGCCCAATCAGACGCCTGACAAACTTATTGGTCTCATGTCTGGTTTCTATAACTGAGTGGTTCCTCATTCTACTTTGACCCATAAAAGATGTAGGCTCCCCAATGTTTTGTCTTAGACATTCTTTCTCCCCCTTATGTGGACAACCACAACTACTGGAGACCCAGAAAAAGTTGATACCACCAAAGTCATTGTCACTGTCAAATGGTTCAACATCAAAAACAGACATGGTTTCATCAACGAAAATGACATTAAAGAAGATGTATTACCATCTGCTTTATTCCCTAAGGACTCTGGGCCCTTTCCAAATGACTTACAGTAGGAATCTCCTATATTGTCCCTCCCTTTTAGAATGTGAGTTTTTGAGAGCAGGGAACTAAGTGTCTTACAGTTCTGTTTATATCTTAGCATAATAGGGGCAGCTAGGTGGCATAGTGGATAGGGCTCAGGGCTCGAAATCTGGAGGACTCATATCCCCGAGTTCAAATCTGGCCTCAGAAACTTACTACCTCTGTGACTCTGGGCAAGTCACTTCACCCTGTTTGCCTCAGTCTCCACACTTGTCTAATGAGCTGGAGAAGGAAATCCCAAATCCCTCTAGTATCCTTGCCAAGAAAACCCCAAATGGGGTCACAAATAGTCCAACCTGACTGAATAACAACTTAGCACAGTATTTTGCACTTGGTAAGTGCTTAATAAATTCTTTTCCATCCATTCACTGGTGACTTCATCACCATTACTTCAATTGTCATTTTCCTACAACTGATTCTCAAATCTATGCAGCTAACTGAATCTCTCCCACGGGCTCCAGCTCAGCACCTCTACCAGCCTGCTGGACATCTCATCCTACATCCTTGGCCAAAACCTCAAATTTAACATGCCAAAGCTGACATCTTCATCTTTTCCCTTAAACACCTATGCCTCCTCTCAACCTTCTTGTCTCTGTTTATGGTGCCATCATTCTTCCTAGTTACCCAGGTTCAGAATCTTTTTTAAGGGGGGAGGACTATAGGAGGTGGAGGAGGCAATCAGGGTTAAGTGACTTGCCCAGGGTCACACAGCTAGTAAGTGTCTGAGGCTAGATTTGAACTCAAGTCATCCTGACTCCAGGACCAGTACTGCATCCACTGTACCACCTAGCTGCCCCTCAGATTCTTGCAATATCTTTGACTTTTCTCTGCAGTGAGAGGAACTGGGTTCAAATCCTGCCTCTAATACACACTACCTAATTTGTGTGACCTCAGGCAAGCATGAAATACAATGGCTACAGATGCCCCTTCCAACTCTAAATCTATGATTCTGGGATCCCTCTCCCATAAAATTCACATTTATTTAGTTTTCAAACTTTTTCCAGTTCTGCCTCCACATCACTTGAATCTTACTTGTTCATTCTCATTGCTACCAACCTAGGTCAGATCCACTTCTCTCCCCTGGATTGCTGCGATAGCCTCCTATGTTGTCTCCCTACCTTCAGCCTCTCCTCTCTACAATAAGAGCCAAAGTAACATCTAGCATTTATGTGGCACTTTAAGGTTTGAAAAGTTATGCATGTTACCTCATTTGATCCTCATAAGAATCCTATGAGATAGGGTTCTTCTTCTTCTTCTTCTTCTTCTTCTTCTTCTTCTTCTTATTGTTGCTATTATTATTTCCTAATTTACAGATGATGAAACTGAGGCTGAAAGTTTGAATGACTTGCCCAGAGTATTAAGATTCTGAAAACATATTTGAATTCAGATCCTCTAGACTTCAAGTCCATAATTCTATCCACTGTGCTGCCAATCCTTTAAACACCTACCAGTTATCTTGTTAAGGTACAAGTCTAAGGCAGTACTTTGTTTATTTAAAAAAAAATAATCAAGAGGCTTTCCATTGACTTTGTCATAAAAGAGAAACTCTTTGGAATGGCATTGAGGGCCTTCTGTAGTCCAGTTGCATCTTCCCTCCAAGATTTTTACATTATACCCTTCCTTGCAAATAGGGCTATTAGCTGTGCCTTGACCTTGTCTCAACTGTCCTAGTTTTCCTGCATTAGCACAGGCTTTCTCGATGACTAGAATGCACATATCTGCCAAGCAAAATCCTTTGATTTCTTCAAAGTTCAACCCAACACCACATTTTCCACAATCACTTCTAAAATTTACTTGAGCCCTCTTCTTGGATTGCTCTTTTGACCTCTCATCTCCCTGCTGCATATCATATTTATCTTTGTATATATGTTCCCGTTTTCTAATAGATCCTATGCTCCTTGAGGGCAGGAAGTATGTCAGTTTTCATTTTTATGTCCCCAGTGCACCATAGTGTTTGTCTGTTGAACTGCAATGAATTGATCCTGAGTTGCAAAGGTACTTAGGTCATTTAGTTGTTATTCAACATGAGTTGAAAAGTAATATTGTGTTTCTTCCTCTTTAGGCATTATTTAAACCAGACTTGGAAAGAACTCTTGATCAGGAAGTAGGAGACACACAGTCTAATCTTGGCTCTGCCACTAACTTGTTTTATGACCTTGGGGAAATCAGGGTCTCTGGGCCTGTTTCCTCCTCTATTAAATGAAAGAAGTTGGCTAAGATGAACTTTAAGTGCCTTCCAGAGTGGTGTTTATGACTCTAGTCAGAGAAGTATGAGCATCAATCAACCTTAAGACCTACAGAAGGTCTCTACCAGTCTTACCACTAATTCCCCAAGCAGAAAGAGTGGCACCTTGGAAAACTTACTTGATGCTGTCCGTTTGACAGTGGCCGATGAGTCCATTTTCTTTTGTGGATTGTTGACATTTCTCCCTTTCCCTGGGATCCCATTAGATGCTACAGGAGGTTTCTTGCTCTTGAACTATTAGAAATAAATTAGACAAGAAAAGTAAAAACCTTTACTATTTTTTTAACCACAATACCTCCTCTTTCTCTCTTTCATCTGTCCTGACTAATGACAAAGCTCAGGTGGCTGAAAGCCACTTTGCCTCCTAAATTCCTCATGGGGCTTATCCTCCCTGACAATTCAAGGAATGCTATAGTTCAAATGAGATTAGAATGCCTAGGATCTCTCTACCTTTTAAAAACTATGAATTAATGAGAAGTTAGGTGGCATAAAGAAAAATACTATGAGCTTGGAGGGTGGTGACCTGGTCCAGCTTCCAGCTCTGCCACTAATTACCTGGGTGACCTTGGGCAAGCCACTCAACCTATAAAATAGAGATGGTAATACTAACACCATTCGGCCCACATGGCTGATGGGGGAAATTGGGGTATGTAAATCAATGGGAAGGAGCATGGCAAAGTGGATTGAAAGCCAGCCTCAGCTTCAGATATTCCTTGCCTTAACATTTACTAGTTATTTTTATACCCAAAGGTAAGTCCATTGACCTCCAAGATGCCTCATTTTTCATACCTGTGAAATGAGGATAACAACATTTTACCACCTACATCACAGGGTTCTTACATGAAAAACATTCTGTAAATTTTTAAATGAGATAATATATGTAAAATGCTTTATAAACCATAAGCATTTAAGGCTTAAAAATGAGTGCAAAGCAGAGGGTAATGCATCTTCTTTAATGTCACTTTCATTGATTAAGTCTTAGTACAGTTTTAAGACTTAAAACCACACTAAGACTTTTGGGAAACCCTGTTGAAATGCTTAGCTATTATTATTACTAAATAAATAGGAGCTATTATGTCACACAGGGAAATTTCAAGGATCCATGAGAATATGTGTGTGAAATGTGTGTACATGGTAAAGAATAAAGTTTTACAAAAATGAAAGATATTAGTAGTAACACGATGGGCAGTATGTGTGAAATTAAATTTGTTTTGTTAAGCACCAAAGCCGAAGTTATTCTAGTGGCTAAAAAGAAAGCAAATAAAAGAAAATAAACAGAAGGAAAAAAAAAACCTTGAAAGTTTAGTGGAAATGCCAGATTTGGAATCAGAGAACCTTGGTTTGAATCCCAGCTATATGACTTATTTCCTGTGTGACCTTAGGCAAGTGGCTTTATCTCTCTGGGCTTCAGTTTTCACTGTAAAGTGAGTAGGGTAGACTAGATAATCCCCATGAACCCTTCCAACTCTGAATCTATGATGCTATTTTTTTTTGGGAGGGGGAGGCAATCGGGGTTAAGTGACTTGCACAGGGTCACACAGCTAGTATGTTTCAAGTGTCTGAGGCTGGATTTGAACTCAGGTCCTCCTGACTCCAAGGCTAGAGCTCTATCTACTGCGTCACCTAGCTGCCCTATATGATTCTATTTTTTTTAAAAGAATGTCTACACACACCAAACAAATCCAGACAAATCTGCAGACCATCCAGAAGTCCATAACAGCATGATTCACACTCAGGAGGTCACTGTGGTTTTGAGGGAGGGACGCTGGATTTGGAACGAGAATCAGAAGGCATTGGAGCTCTCTTCCCAGCTATGTCATGTGTCCATGAGGAAGTCCCTTCCTGTTTCTAAGCCCGTTTCCTCCTCCACGGAGTGGGGACAATGATGCTTGTACTGCCGATGTCACAGATTGGTCATGAGGAGAGCATCCCGTGAATTGCAAAACAATCAAGACAATTCTCCTCTCTCTAGTGCTTTAACGTTGGACAAAGCAGCTTTTTCCGCCATAATCCTGCTTTCCTCACAAATGATCTTGGAAGGTGAGGTATTACCATTATTCTGAATAAGTTAAATTACATTTTATCTCAACCTAACCACGTAGGACTGGTATCAAATGCCTGCCTCTTTGGACAGACTTCTAAGAAAGCCTACTCTCTCAGGGAATAAACATACAGCTTTTCAGATTTTGGAGGTAGACAGACATGAAACAAGTATATAAGCTGCCCACTCCCTCTGTACATTTCTGTAATCTTATCTGGTACTAGTCATCAACACCTAAATATTACTGAGATTGAGAGAAAAAGGCAAAATGGTCCTTCTGTTTGAAATCATATGCCCACCAACAAAGATGATTTCACAGGTCTGTGCTAGAAAACATAGAAATGTAGGATAAGAAACACATCAGGGGAAATAGCTGTGTGAAACATGATTCTGCAAAATTCAGAAAAGGCATTTGAACTGAAATATTAACTTTTGTCACATATCTGGGAAAAATAAAAGTTACCTACTCTATATCAAAATTTCTTGTAATTCAAATAAGGAGGCACAAATCAATTAGTCTTTAAAGAGCATTCTTCTCTCTTGCATTAGGAATATAAATTAGCACCCTTGGGACAGCCTCATGCCTTGGAAAGAGCATGGGGCTTGGCATCGGAAGTCTTAGCTCTAAGTCTGGGCTCAGCTGTTCCTCCCTGTGGGACAGCCACTCTGATTCCCTTCAACTGCTACTACTCTCCCTGACAAACCATTTAATTATCTCTGTGTGTACATGTATACGTGTTGTGACCCCAATTAGAATGTAAGCCCACTAAAAAGAGGGATTGTCTTATTCATTGGAGTCTCATCTCTAGTGCCTGGTAGTGCCTGGCACATATCATCCGCTTAATAAATGCTTGTTGACTGATTTGTTTATTTTCCCATCTGTAAAATGGATATACTTGAAATACATACAGACTTGTTATGAGGAAAGCACACAAAGGTCTTGAGAAATGGGAACTATTACTTGAATATTTTAGGTTGAATGTACAAAAGGCTATATGCAGCCACTTGGTGACTCTAGGCAGTAATAAAGCTTTGCAACTGAGCATATATCTAAGTCTGTGATAATCTTAATTTTTTTCCCCTGAATACCCTGATATAATTCTAATGGGCCAGCAGTTCATCTGAAGCTATTAGGACTGAATGAAGGTGCCAAAGCCAGTGGACAGAGAAGAGGCAGCTAAGGTGTAGTGGGAAAAAAAAATACTAAACTTTGAGGACAAAGCTCTAGGTTCAGGTTCCCATTGTGTGATACTACCTTGGTAACTTGAGGCCCATAAATTAATCTTTCTGAGCCTCAGTTTCCTCATGTAAAAAATCTGGTTATGAATATCTACACTGACTACTTATTTCTCATGGTGGTTGTAAGGATCAAAAAAGCAAAGGCATACATGGTTGTGAATTGTTAATCACTAAAAGGCCCACATATTGTCTATTATCAAATAATTGGTGAATGTGCAAAGGACATGGGTCATCCTCATTGTGGGGAATTCCTGGTGTGGCAACTCTTTCTGCCAGTGCCAAGAGAACATGTGAGTTCTAGGGAGTAGCTTGAGGAACACAGAGGTTACTTCAGTTGCCCAAGGTCAAGGTCATCCAGCTAGTAATGGTCAGAAGTGGGGTTTACATCAAAGGAACATAGATTTTGAGCTGGACAGACCCTCAGAGGCTATCTAACCCCACCCTCTCATCTTCCAGATGAGCAATCTATGGCCCAGAGCAGTTATATATCTTGACCAGGGTCCCATAGGTGGCCAGTAACCAAGTTGTTCTAACTTCAAAGCTAGTGTCCTTTACTGATTCCAAGACCAGCTCTACCCTGTACCCTATTATCACTTAATCAGTTTAATTACTAAGCAAATACTGTCTGGAAGCGTAAGTTGGTAGGTAAATAACATTTCAGTTGGGAAAAGATTATGCCTGTCTTCCAACTGGTACTATTTATCCTCATTCGGCAACAGAAATCACAAGACAGTTATAAAAACATAAGAGAAACATGAAATGCAAGTCAAATGCGCTTTACAGAAGTCCATGCAGTACCTGAGAGTTCAGCCCGACAGATCCCCTCCCCACTGAAGAGGTATTAGTGACAGACTGAGCAGAAGACAGATTGGAGGAGACAGGATGTTTGTAATGGTTAGAAGACAGTTTGTCAGTAGATAATCTAGAAGCCTTTCTTTCAGCAGGTGGGTAGCGGGCAAAGATTTTTGGAGACGGCAAGTTATCATACAGCCCCGCGTTATCATAAAGCGTTTCTTCTCCCAAGATTCTGCTACGGGAAGTCTGAAAGCCATCTTCTTGTTCCCACTGCAATACACACATACACACATCTCAGCTGTTAGTAATAAAGGAGTGATAGAAAGCAAAGCAGACTGAAACCATCAGCAAGTCAGAAAGTCATAACCCTCTCCTCCTCACCCCTGGAGGTTAATCAGTGTGACGTCCCCTCTCAAGCATGTAGGTTTGGTTGCCATAGGGACTCTTCCCAGAACTTTTCCATCTTACCACCCTTGAAGAAAGGAAGGGTTTTGTTTTGTTTTGTTTTTGGGTCCCCTGAGTCATTTCTATAGCCAATGGATGACAGTCTTCACTAAATAAGAGACTATGTCCACCATAACTTGAACCTTCTTCCTCTTTAGAGAAAGAGAGTAAGAGCTCACATTTCTCCTGTGCCTGCTTTCATGGTTTACAAAACACTCTCCTCACAATAACCATCTTGGGCATCACCCCAAGAATCTTCATTCTCATTCTGCAAATATGGATAGCCAGGTTCAGAGAGTTTGAGTGATTTATGTACAGTCACACAGCTGGGGAGTGTTGGAGTTGGGACCCAAACCTGGAATCATCAGACTGTTAGACCAGGATCTCTTACCACTGCAAGACAGGTGTTACAGCCATGTGCTCTGTGTGGTTCCCTAGGATCCAGTAAGCAGATAGCTTAGGGAGATCTGCCTATGATGCTGTTCCCTACTGCATGCTGTTGAGTCATTTCAGTCGTGTCTGACTCTTCATGACCCCATTTGGAGCTTTCTTGACAAAGATACTGGAAAGGTTTGCCATTTCCTTCTCCAGCTCATTTTACAGATAAGGAAACTGAGGCAAACAGGGTAACATGACTTACCCAGGGTCACACAGGTAGTAGGTGTTTGAGACCAGATTTGAACCCAGGAAGATAAGTCTTCCTGACCCCAGGCCCAGCACTCTATCCTTTGAGTCACTCCTTACTTTGCTACAGTTGATAAAAATCTTTGTAAACAAAGTAGAGGTTTGGCAAACTGGAAGGAGCACTGGACGTAAAGTTGGGACGAAAAGGTTTGAGTCCCAGCTCCACCATGTACTAACTATGCAACTACAGGCAAGTAAGCTGGCCTTTCTCAGTCTCAGGCTCCTAATCTGCAAAATGGGTCTAATAATGCTTGTTAAAGATATTTAACTAAGTGTGAAAGTGGAGCTTTCCCCTCAAGCTACTGATATTTAGAGGATAAAAAAAACCTAAACAAAGCCCAGACATCACACCCCAAAACTGCTTCCCTTCCCTGGTTACGGCCTCACCCACTCATGGGAGTTTCTGTCTTCCTTAACAGAATGGATGGTATCACTGGGTCTCCCTCCACAGGGTCTTATGTGAAGTCAAGTCCAAGTTTCCTCCTCAAGGTCTCCCACCCACATACCTCAACTTAAAAAGAAATTTTCTTTAAAAGTGGTCTTGAGGGTGCAGACTTACATGCTTCTTGCCTTGAGGTGTTTTGCAATACTTGCCCCGTCTGAAGAATTCCTACAGATGGTTCTGATACTTGGGCCCTCTCTTTCCAAGGAGATTGCAGGGAAGGCATTTTGTAAACCATACGTGTGACATAACTGAGAACTATTATTATCACTAATAGCGTGTTCAAAGGGAGAGTTCCCAGTTGGCCATCTGACCCCAAGCATGATGCTTTAATAACTAACTGATATATGAATTCTGACTTATTTTGGTAGGGAGGACTTTTTTTTAAAGCAGAGACCAAAATAGCTAGACACCATTTCACATACACAGAAAACCAGAAGACATTAACACCACATCTGGCTAAAGCCTAAGTTAAAACCAAAGACTCTCTCCAAAGGCAGATTTTTTTAAAGTCTCTTGACAAATGGCTCTTACATTTAAAAGAAGCAATATTTAGTTTATATTGTGTGAATTTTATCCCATTTTTAGACACTTCATATATAGCTCCTTTCTGTCAGACAATAATTAGGTGCCTTTGTCATAAAAATAGCACAGTCTAAAAATTACATTGTAGGAGTGTTTTCATTCCTTTGCATTAACTTCAACGTGTCTATTTCCATGACGTCAGCTATCTACTTCTAATCTAAAAATAAAGCTATTCACAGAGAAATCTAAGGCATGTGAGATTTTCATTAAAGGAGCCTGGCCTCTATTTACCCAAGCTTCTTCAGGTAGTCTTAACTATTATTTCTCCTAATCAATTCATTTGCATTTATTCAAGGCCTTTTGCAAAACATTGGGCATAGAAAAGCAAAGAGAGAAATAGTCCCTACCCTCAACGAGATTATATTTTATCAAGGGAAACATGTATATATGAGAGAGAGAGAGAGAGAGAGAGAGAGAGAGAGAGAGAGAGAGAGAGAAGTAAATACATTTTGTGACAAAGGTAGAGAAACTAACAGCTGAAGTGGGGGGTGGGGGAGGTCTGCAAAGGTCTAATGGAGGAGGCAGTGCCTCGGTTAAGTCTTACAGGAAGCAGAGATCCTTAGAGGCAGAGATGAGGATGGAGTATATCACCAGAATGGAGGACAGCCTGTTCAAAGGAATAGAGATGGGAGGGGGACTGATGTGAATGAGGAACAGCAGGAAAACCTTAAAAAAGATCACAGGATCCTAGGATCATAGATTTAACACTGGAAAGGACTTTAGGAGTCATCTAGTCCAAATGCCTTATTTTACAGATGAGAAAACTGAGGCCCAGAAAGGTCCAGTTACTTGCATACTAAACCTTTGAGATATAATCTACCACTGAATCATGAGGTTGAGGTCCCCTGATCTAGACAAAATGAATCTAATTATTAGTTCGATTGTGCCATTTAAGCTATGGAAGAACTAGTTAGCTTCACTTCTGTCAAAGAAGAGCCTAGGCATGGAATTATGGAATCTCGGTGATGACCGGGGACCACAGCCATCATCTGAACAGATCCCAAAATGAATCATGAATCCCCTGGACAAAACTGATAAGAAGAGATCCATCCTGTCTTAAGAACCTCTAGTCTAGTGAAGGGGTCTCTCTATTATTTCCTCAGCTAGCTCATACCATTTCTTCCCGACAGATCTCATCATTAGGAATTTTTTTTCTATATTGAGGGAAATCACCCTTCCTGTATCTTCCATCCAGTGGTCTCCATTGTGACCTATGGTGTCGCTGGAAACAACTTGAATGAACACACCTGCAGGTGGCAACTACTTGATACCAGTCATCAGTCATAAAAGAAATTCAAGACAATAATGTCAATCACTGAAAATGTATAAGAGAAGGAGAGGTGTTCACACACACAAAAGGTAATAGTCAAAAACAACTCTGAAAGCTACATGGAAAAACAGGCTCTCTGTCTAGCTAGGAGAATATGTCTTGTTATTCGTGTGGATTTATAATAATGGGAAACACAAGATGATTCAGGACAGAATTTCTATGGATCCAGATAAAAAATGCTCTAAGAAAATTTGAGAAAGTAAGACTTCATGGAGGAGTGAGAAGTTGACCTGGACCCTGAAAGAAAAGGGCTTTGGGAATCAGAAGGCCTAGGTCACAATCCTTCCTCTGATGCTTTTTGCCTCTGTGACTTTGAGCAAGTCATTTAAACTCCCTGGGGCTTAGCTTCATTGACTGTAATGTAATGGGGCTGGATGACACGGGTCTTTTCGACTCTATTCTCCTATGACAAATTTAAGAGTCAGAGATGAGAGTAGGGTTCGACAGCAGAGGTATCAAACATGTGACTGGCAACACTCTGCAGAGCTGCCTGAACCAAATTAAAACGTAATTGGAAAATAGTTAACAAAAAAATGAAAACACGATATAAGATGGATTATATTTGTGGTTTTCTGAGTCAAGATGCCACCAGCAGGGATCTTTATGTATGGCTTAGCACCCACTCCTCTATTTCTATTAGAATATGATACCACTGCATTATAAGAAGGGGGAATAGCCCCTAAAAGGATATAGTAGAGGGTAGGAGAAGACCAAAAAGTTCAATTTAACTGGAATAGAAAACACAGGAAGAATATTGTGAAATAAAGCTTGAAAGATTCATTGGGTCTAGTCTCAGGAGGGTCTCAAATGCCAGGCAAAGGAGCTTTTATGGGCAAGAGGGAGTAATTGAAAGTTTTTGAGCAGTAGATTGACATGCATATTAGGAAAGCACAATGGTAATTAGGAAGAATATTTTGGTATTTGTGTGAAGTATAAATTATAAAGGAGAGACTGGAGGTAGAAAGCCCAGTTTTGTTACAATGGTTGAGGAAAGAGGTGACACCATTACATTGTAAATATTTAGTAAATGTCTGTGGAATGGATAAACAAAGGAATGAGGGCAGAATGAGTGAAGAAGAAGGCATTATGGGGGAGAAGAGACTTGGAGCTCTTCCTTGGGGCAATGGTTGGATGTGAATAAGTGCAAGGGAAGGAAAAGAGAAGAAAGTGAGTAAACACCTGGAGGGTAGAAATTAGCACGGACATCTGTGGGATCGTAATTATACAATATTTCCAGGCATGCTCAGATATTTAATTAATGGGGTTAGCATTAACTGACAAGCCACCCCCTGGCACGTCAAAGTCTATACTTATTCTGATGAAGATTAAGATGAACAACATGCCAAAACATAAGGGAAGAGAGATGAGATGGCAGCTTCATCCTGCTTATACATATAAAAAGCCCAAGCTTATTTGGAAGGAACACAGGGATGTTAAATTACGGAATTTTTCAGACAGTCCTGCCTCCCAGCAAAGATAAACCATTTACTCTATAAAAATGACACTCTCACCGATCCATTTATGCAAGGGACATCATCATAATGAAGTGCCATCCCACTGGGGTGGGCATATCCATTGGAGGCACTGCCGAGATAGGGATTTGTAGAGATACCACGTCTGTTCATAAAGCTAAAAGAGAGAAAATTATGTTTAAAATATACAAAACAACCCATTTCCTCACTAAAAAAAAATCAATCCATCAAGGAGCATTTGTTATAACATAATTGCTCCCAAACATATTTATTACCGTACTTTTTTAAAAATAATCCTCTACAATATTTTAAATTCCCTGGGGACAAGGATCATGTCTTAAATATCTTCATGATTCCCTTAATGCCTAGTCCTCTGCATACAGAAGGTACTTAATAAAAGTTTACTGAATGAATAAACTGAATAAAGGAAAGAATAAATGTCTGATTATCATAATAATAATAATTGAATTTATATAGTGCTATAATGATTACAAAGTACTTTACATGCATTATCTTACTGGATCCTCACCTATGAATTAAGCAATAAAGGAATTATTAGCCCCATTTTATTGATTAGGAAATTAAGGCTCAGATCAGTTAAACGAGATAGGAAAGTGCCTGAGGCACTGTCAGACACAGGTTTCTCCTGACTGCCAAGTCTGTTTTTTTTTCCCAGAGCACCATCCTTCCTTATTTTTACTGAGCACCATGCTCTTGATTCTCTTCAGGGTGCTATGAAGGAAGCAACCTACAAAACATAGGGCCTGGAAATAAGACTAACACACATTAGAACTAACAAGATTCTAATTCTATTACAATCAGGAGGATCATATGTACTACAAATCACTACTACAAAAAGAAATACAAATCAAAACAAATCTGAGGTTTCTCATTACTCCTAGAAAGTTAGCCGAGATGACAAAAGATGAAATTGGTCAGTACTGGACCAGTCATGGAAAGATAGGCATACTAGTGCATTATTGATGGAGCTGTGAATTGGTCCAAGCATTCTGAAAACATGGAATTATACTAAAGAAGTGACTAAAAATATTCATACCTTTTGACCTAAAGACTTTATTACATATACCCCAAGGAGGTCAATGACAAAAAGGAAGGCCTCACATACATCAAAATTATTACAGCAACAGCATTTTTGTAATAGGCATTCAAGTCAGTTAATGAGCATTTATTAAGCACTTACTATGTACAAAGCACTGTGCTAGGCACTGGGGATAAAAAGAAAGGCAAAAACTCAGTTCTTGACCTCAAGGAATGCACAACTGATGGGGAGGATAACATGAAAATAATTATGTACAATCAAGATATGAACAAGATAAATTGAGGTCAATCTCAGAAGAAAGGTACTGGCAGTAGAAGGAATGGGGTGGGGGTGAGGAGGAGCTGAGAAAAGCTTCCTGTAGAAGGTGGGATTTGAATGGGGACTTGAAGGAAGCAAGGGAGTGGAGGAGAAGAGGGACAACATTCCAGGCCATTCATATAGAGCCTACTATGTGCCAGGCACCGTGCTTTTACAAATATTATCTCATTTGATCCTCACAACAACCCTACGAAGAAGGTGCTGTTATTATCCCCATTTTACAGTGGAGGAAACTGAGGGAAACAGAGGTTAAGTGACCTGCCAAGGGTCACACAGCTAGTAAGTGTCCAAGGCAACATTTGAACTCAACTGTTTCTGACTCCTAGTCCAGTGCTCTATCCACTGTGCCATCTAGCTACCACAAGAAAAGGAAGAGAGTTGGGCAATGGAGTGTTCACATTTAAAGAATAGAATAAAGGCAAATGTTGTTGGATCATAAAGTGCATGGAGAGGAATAAAGTATAAAAAGACTAGAAAAATGGGAAGGGGTGAGGTTGTGAAGGGCTTCCAATGTCAAACACAGTATTTTATACTCTCCCCTGGAGGTACTAAGGAATCACTGGAGTTGATTGAGTAGGAAGGGGTAACATGGTCAGACTTGGGCTTTAGGAGTGTCTTTGGAGCAGCTGAATGGCTCACAGACTGGAGTAGTGAGGCACTTGAGACTGCGAGCTCCAACCAGCAGGCTACTGCAAGGTCCATGCATGAGGAAAAGAGGGCTGCATTATGCTGGTGGCTGTGATTGGAGACAATGGGACATACGCAAAAGAGGTTGTGAAGGTAGGAAATGGCAAGGCTTGGCAATGATTTGGACAAATGTGAGAGAGGAATCATAAGGATGCTATATGAAGGTTGTGAGTTTGGGTGGCTGGGCAAATAGCAGTGTCTTCCATAGTAATAGGAAAGTTGGGAAGAAGGGATGGTTTGGGAGAAAAAGGTAAGTTGCTTTGGACTTGCTGAGTTTGAAGTGCCTATGGGACAACTAGTTTGGTTGGCATAAATAGTTTGACTCTTTGAAACACAAAGGGAGGGATTTGCTTTAATGAGGAAATGGCTACATAGAATAAGACACTATCTAGGATCAGAGTTGTCATAACTTGAAGTCTGATCATGAAACTTTTCTATTCAAAATCTTTAGTGGACCCCACTGCCTACTAAATAAAATACAAAATCCTGTTGTTTTCTCTTAAGAGCCTCTGCAATCTGGCTCTATCCTACCATTCCAGCATTATCTCTTCCTACTCTTTCCTGCATGAACTTTACGTTAGCACTAAAATGAACTGCTCCTCTAGCTGTCTCCAACCTTGGTCCTTTGTTCTAGCTGAATTCCACGCCTCCAATGACCCATCTCCCTATCTCGTGTCCGTCTGTTGAACTTTATCCCTCCAGTGGCCTGACTCCCTATGCTGTATCTACCTGCTGATATCCACCCTATCCTTCAATGCCTAACTCAGTGGTTACCTCCTCCAGGGAAGCTTTCCCTGACTCCTGCCTCATCTAGGTTGAAAGTATTCCTACTTGCTCACATTTCTCACCACACTTTGGTAGGGCCTCTTCTTGTGCACTTCTGGCCCAATTCTTCATATCATAAACATTTGGATCCTTACACTTTTCCCTATTAGATTGATTGTAGTCTCTTTGATAGGGGTACCTTTATGTCCTATGTCCTTAAATGCTTTTGTTTTTCTGGTACCAAGTACAAGATCTTGAAAACATCAGATGCTTGGTAAATGTCTGCTCAATGAAGGGATGACTGCAAGGGATGCTGTGAAAGGAGGTGGAGAGGGTACAAGCATTTATTAAGTGCCTACTACATGCCAGACACTTTACCTTAAGGTCTTTACTAATATTGTCTCATTTCATCTCATTTGGGGAAGAGGATTTCTACAGCACTGAGTAATAACTTGGACAAATAATCTCTAAGGTGCCTTTCAACTCAAAGATCCTATAATTATACTATATCAAATGAATTTTTAACCACCATTTGGAAATCTGAAATAGTTTCATTATTTAAGACCAGAATCATGCATATCTTTTTTTCTTATTGTAGTTCATAAAACTATCATAGGCTTTAGATTTTTAAATGGCTTAAAGATCCCGTCATGGAAACCCCTCTTTTTACATGTGGAAGAAACTGAGATCCAGGAATAGGAACTAACTTGCCTAAGGTACCTTTGGTAGTCAGGAGCAAAGCTAAAACAAGAGACAGTTCCTCTGACTCCAAATTTCATGTTCTTTTCCCTACACAACAATGTCTCTCAAGTTCATTATAGATAAAAATGTGAGGGCCTCATGGGAAGAGAACTACAGATGGCAAAATTGGAGAGAAATATAATAACTTAACAGCTAACATTTATATGGTGATTTAAGGTTTGTAAAGTGCTTTGGAAATATTATCTCAGTTTAAGTTCACCCTGAGAGGTAGATGTTATTATTACCTGCATTTTGAAGATGAGTCAACTGAATCAAACAGCGGTTTAGTGATTTGCCAGAGTCTGAGACTGGATTTGAATGCAGATCTTCTTGACTCTATATCCCCTGCTCTATCCTGCATCAATTCAACAAACATCTATTAAGCCCTTGCTATGTGCCAATTACTGTGCTGAGTAACTTCTAAAAATGGAAGATGGGGGTGGGGAGGTTAATACTTTTCTATTCTCTCCACTTTCACTCTAGGTCCTTATATTCTCTATCGTGCCGAGTTGTTTAAAAAAAGAAAAGGACAGAAAAAAAGAAATACAAAGAGATGCAAAGAGGGAGAATGAGGTCTTATATTAGACAAGCCATGAGAGGGAAAGTTCTGCAACAAAGATAGAAATGTAATTCCAGCCTTCAAGAACTGAGTAGAAATAGTATTTAAGGATTAAGATCAGCATTAGATTTGTAGGCTCCCTTTTTCAGCATCATCTGAAAAAAGAAATGAATTCAAAGAAAGGTTATGCCTCCCTCTACTGGAAAGAAAGTCATCTCACATGCATTTTCTTTTTCCTATCTTAAGTGTAACTGGAATGTTGGAGGTATTTGGATTTAAATTGCTCATTTTGGTACAAGACATTTCAAGGCTTCCAATATGCACTTCTCATTTGGCACGACTCAGTCCTTGAATGAATGAGAGGAAATTCTGTTGAACAAGAGACAGTGTTGCTTAATGAAACATGCAATGGACTTGGGGATCAGAGACTGGTGGTTCAGCTCTAGGCTTTACCACACAGTAGATGTGACCTTGGGCAAGCTAATTCTCTTCTCAGACACTCAGCTGCCGTATTGGACAGAGGGTTGGACTTGGGGGTCAAAAAAACTTCAAGTTCCAATCCTATCTCAGACATTTACTGGTTATGTGACCCTGAGCAAGACACCAAATCTCTATTCAACCTGAGTTTCCTTATCTGCAAAATAGGTATAATAATAGCACCAATTCATAAGGTTGTTGTGAGGATCAAGTTGAGATATCGTGAAGAGCACTTTGCAAATCTTAAAGCTCTATACAAATCTGGCCTAGGTCATCTGGACTGGGTCCCTTCTAGCTCTGACCCCCTGTGATTTTGAAATCTAGAGAAACCTAAAGGAAAAAGATATCAACTTTCTCTTTCAGCATCTTAGCTTATTTGAAAGTGGTGGCTAACCCAGACAAGGAATCTCCATGTGTATTCTCTGGGAAGTAATCATGAAATGCTGCATGTGGGACGTAACAGAATCATAAACTCTTACAAGGGGATGGGACCAGATGTCACCTCCTCCAACCTTTTCATTCTACAGATTGTAAAAGTGAATCACAAAAA